ATACTCCAGCACCATTAAGCTCGTCTAGGAGTTAATCTCCGGTTGGAATTGGGAAGCGATCTTTGATTGTTATATTGTTCAATGCGTGATAGTCTATGCAAATCCGCCAACTGCTATCAGCTTTCTTCACCAACAAAACCGGAGAGGAAAATGGGCTATGACTTTCTTTAATAAAATCGGATGCTAAAAGATCAGAGACCTGCTTTTCAATCTCTAATTTCTAGTGATGCACATATCTGTAAGGACGCATGTTAACAACTCTTGCTTCTCCAACTAGGTTAATAGCATGGTCACATTCCCTCTTAGGAGGAAGGCCTTGAGGCAAGCGAAGTACTGATTGAAATTGAATCAGTAAGGACCACACAACTTCATGTATTTTAGCTTTAATAACAATCAACTCTGGTAAAACATTAACTTAAGGCATTTGTGTTTCTGCTGCAGCTAAAGCCATATACTTTGAAAGTTCCATATTAGCTTATGTGACATCCTTTTCACCATGTAAAACCACCTATTGCTTCTCTCATATGAATTCCATGGACATCTTCCCATAATCATGCAATACTCGGCCCAATTTCTCCAGCTACATAATGCCTAGAATGATCCCTATAGACATTGTTAGATCAATAACCCATAAATCGAAGGTAAAAGGATGGTCTTGAATATTTAAGGTCATATTAGGGCATTTTCTGTCACAAGTCATAAACTCTCCATTTCTCAAGTACACTTTCATCCTCTGAGTTCTTGTCATAGGTAAACCCAAGGCATCAACCAGTACACGCTTCACAAAATTATGAGAACTGCCAGAATCAACTAATACATGTATCAGCTAGCCTTTGAAACAAATGGAAAAATTAAATGCACGATAACTATGGTTACCAAATAAGGAATGTAACGCTGCTTCTAATGGAGTAACCGTTGTTGATTCGGGTTGCCAAATGATATTTTCTTCTTGTTCAAGATCAAATTCATCAATATCCCCCACCATTAATAAAAGCTTCGCTTTACATCTGTTTCGTGAAGTCCACTTTTTCATCACAAGTGTAATACAGACTAAGCTCACAACATTTCTGCAATTCCTCATTAGTTAACTTCTGGACCGGTGGTATATTCGAAGGTAAGGCTAGTAATGTTGTGGTTTGGTTGGTGGTAGAAGTAAAAGCTGAAATGGGATTGGCTGGGACAGAATCAGAGGTCAAACTTGACTTTTGAAAATTGCATTTTGGGCGGGTTGAACTGGATGTGAAGGTGGAACATAATTCTATAAAATGGGTTTTATAAACCGATTCCATTTGCATTGCTTGGTGAAGGCTAACAGGATTATGAAGTTGAATGGCACATCTAAGTTCCAGAGATAAACCTGAAACAAAGAAAGAAAACAACACGTCATCGGAGAAATTATTTCCTTGGTTAATAAAAAATTCAAAGCTTTGGCTGTATTCAGCCAAGGTACCTGTTTGCATGAGTTTTGATAAACTCCTCTAGAATTTGCTGCAATCCAGAAAATAACTCAATTTTAAAGATCCAGCCATTTGGATTTGTTCCGTTGAAAACCTGAAGCTCCATTCGAACAGCCTTCAACAACAATGGATAATCTTGCATCGTTGTTCGATGAGGAACAAAGGATGCACCCTTAGGATCTGCTGATGAACAATTGTTTGGAACAAGAATCTCGCGCCTAATACGATCTTCCCTCCCCAAAATCGCTTCGTGGACTTGTTGCAGTTGTGCGGTCAAATTCGCAAATTGAATTTGGTTTTTAGCAAAGCGCTGATCCACGTGAACCTAAAAAGCACGATTCTCCTCTCTATCTTGTTCAACCCATTGTTGAAATAAAGATAGTTCTTCGGCGACTTCTTGCACACGCATGATGAAAGCACTATAGTGATAGGAACGTGTATCCTATCAGAAGAGAGAAAACGAACACTAAGAAAGAGAAACGAATTCTTTATTTTTTCTATATATCCAAAGAATGACTACAGTGTACCTCTTATACACATTTTAACAAACACTAGCTGAGCAACCACTTCACACCGCTTCACTTAAGTACACGTGACACTAACCACTTAACTACACATGACATCTACAAACACATGGCAATACAACTCACTGCTATTACAGCTTAACAGAATAGACCTTCGCCCATATGGGAGCACTTTTACTCCTTGATGATTTCCTCAACGTATCATAGTCATGGTTATTGTGTTAATAGTTGTAGGAGCATATGATGATGCAATATACATTTCACTATTGATAGCCAGTTATCGAATAGATAATGAAAAATATCTCCTTCGGCAATGTCTACGTAGAACTCAATGAATTTTTTCTTTGACTATTCAAAGAATGCATCCATTACCATGTCCACATCCTTATCATCTGCAACCCGCAACTAATGTATTCATCTTTAAAGTAGGATCTTGCCATCTAATGGGAAATATACTAGTTTTCTTAGAGGCCCAATTTTTGTGAATTTTCTAATGTAATTCTTTGATCATTATGTTGCGTTTAATTCACATTGGTCTTTTCTCGCCCTCGAAAATGATCTTACCTTCACCTTCGAATTTTCTACCATTATAGTAGAAAACTACATGAATAGATTTTGAATCTGAACTCAATTTGGTAGAAAAACAACAAACTTGTTTTGAGTTCTTAGACATTTGAAATATATGGAGAAGGAGAAAAGGAGAGTGCGAAGGTTACAAAAATTGTTGGGAGGAAATGGGTTTGTAGAAGGGGAAGGGGACACCATGTGGTAGCATCACTGTTGGTTGCGCATAAATTTGGGCGCATCTAAGGGTTAGTTGCCCACATACTTTGTTCGTATGCATGGGGTTACATGCATCTAGTTGCACTTATTTCTATGTACAATTAGTTGCGCATAAGCTTATGCACAACTCTTAGAATGTTGCATCCAATGTTGTGCGGAACTAATTGTGCATGGAGTCTCCTGCATGTGTATTGTTCTTCCAATAATTGCTGGAGAAGTGCTTATGTGGATGAATTGTGTGTTGTTTTTATATATTGTTCGATCCTAGAAGACCGTATTGCTATACCGTATGGTATGCATTCAGAGATACCCTAGAGATAAATACCTTGGTTGGCTTATAGCCAGTATCCTAATCACCGCGCACAAGCAATAGGCTTATAGCCAAGACGTGGGTGTATGCACAGTGTTGGCCGTAATAGTAAATAGGTCAAAAGTGTGAACTTGAGGGTCTTTAACCTCTTATTTATAAGGGTTACCTCTTGGGCTTGTGTAGATCTTTCAATTGTAGTAGGATTCAACTTCCTTTCTGTTGGGATAGGGACTCTATCCTTAGCAGCCTTACTGTTTTATATTGTTAGGATAATTGAGTAATTATCTTTTAAGGATCCTTGGGTAGGTGGTTAGGATATGGAAATATTCCATAACAGTTGCCCCCCAGCCCTGCAGTTCGGAAGCTCAGACTGCTGGGGTGCCTAAGTCTGATTGATAGGTCGACCCAACCGAGGTACTATGATCCTGCCTTGGGTTTGGTGCAACTACCTCTTCTTGGTTTAGCTTTTTATATTGGCTTCTTTTCTCTTGAAGTCTTTGAGTGGTGAGGCGATGTTTGCCATCGTTAAAGTTTTGGTCACAAAGGCTTAACAGGTTGGCATCAAATTAAAAAGCCATCACGAATAAAGCGAGGCTCAAAATAAAAGCCACGGTATACGTATTCAGGCTTAAAATCGAGGAGGGGAACTCCTCCTTCAAGAATCCAAGACTATGGCAAAAGAAGCCAAGTCCGTCAAAAACAAGAGAAGTCATGGAATTTGTAGCCGGACTAATTGTTCAATAAGGCACGAAAGACCTTCCCAAAATTAAGATATATACATCAAGTCAAATCCGAAAAGGGGAAGTCGTAGTAAGAAAATTCGTGCTCCCTAAAGTACAATACACCTTTGCAAAAGGTCAAAACCATGCTAATAAAGATCTCGGTATGCGAAACCGAGCCAAATCTAGAACCACAACACTTAAAGACAGGGAGTGCAAAGTCGGATTAATTATAAAGAAGGCACGAAACGGCGTCCTAAAACTTAGGCGAATGCCTATATAAAAGACTGACTATAAGCCTAGTCAAAACTAAAGAGCCTCAGCAAGAGGAGCCGAGCTCAAAGTAAAAAAAAAAAAGGCAAACATCGTCTCACCACTCAGAGACTTCAAGAGAAAAGAAGCCAATATAAAAAGTTAAACCAAGAAGAGGTAGTCGCACCAGACCCAAGGTATGATTATAGTACCTCAATAGGGTCAACCTATCAATCAGACTTGGGCACCCCAGCAGTCCGAGCTTCCGAACTGTCGGGCTGGGGGACAACTGTTATGAAATATTTCCATATCCTAATCACCTACCGAAAAATTCCTTAAAGGATAATTACTCAATTATCCTAACAATATAAAATAGTAAGACTGCTACGGATAGAGTCTCTATCCCAATAGAAAGGAAGTTGAATCCTACTACAACTGAGAGATCTACACAAGCCCAAAAAGTAACCCTTATAAATAAGAGGTTAAAGACCCTCAGGTACACACTTTTGACCTATTTACTATTGTTGCCAACACTGTGCACACACTCACGTATTAGCTATAAGTCTATTGCTCGTGTGCAGTGATTGGAGTATTGACTATAAGCCAATCTGAATATCTATCTCTAGGGTATATCTGAACGCATACCATACGGTTCTCTAGGACCGAACATATAAAATCTCCAAGATATATACTAAAGCAATGTGTTGCTGTGAGAATAATATGCCCAAAGAGTATATGTGCAAGTGCATGAGATAGAATCATGTTATGATAGGTTGCCATTGTGGGAGAGAGACACTGAACAGCTGCCAACGTTGGGGGCTGGGAGTAAGCTCAGATCGAACGTCACACATTTGGGCCTAGGCCTGTTTGGGGCCAAGTCCCGAATAACGACTCTGGAACAAGTATATATCTGGAAATGTTTTCTATAAATTACCAAAATCAGATTATTGGGATTCCGATTTTTCTGTTGACAAATTTGTACATTCTTTGCTGACTAAAATACAGGATTGGAGTAACTCCACGCTTTGAATTCACTTCCCTTTGTTTCTACTCCTCGGTATTACTACTCTAACCACCACCACCACTGTTTAGGTTCCAGCGTCTGTCATCTTGAAATCTTGTTGGATGAATACCATAGCTTTTTCAGGCATACTAATATCTTCTCCTTCTCACCTCCTTGCTTAGTATCTTCTTTACGACATTCCCATCGCATACCCTTTGCAATGGTTACAATGGCATCCACAAAATAACTAGACTCACGAATAATTGCATACCCATTAGGTCGTAGAATTCGGTCCATTTCCAGCAACACATACTTCATTTCACATCTGCCACGTAACAATTATTGTCAGAGTAAATCAACCATCGATACAAAGGAAAAGATAATTATATCACCATGTTCATAAATTCGTATTCATTACCTGTCTGAATTAACTTATCTAAGAAAAAATCAAAATTAAAATGTTCATGAGACAGTTTATGACTGAAAGTTTTTCAAGTGTATAATAATTAAAAGCCAAACACCAACTCAAAGCAAGTTAACGGGTGAATGAGTTGAGAAAATCACCTGTGGCTTTCTGCAGTGAAGAGACCATTAAGATGAAGCAGGTCATATGTTCGAGGATATGTTGAAAAAGCTTCACACCTACCATAACAAAAATCAAATCAACACCAAACCATATAAGACAAAAAAACACATTCATACATATCCAAGGTTTCAGAATTACCAGTCATGGTAGGTTCCAATAAGGCCTCGATCATAAACCACAGGGAGTGTATTGATAGCATAAGACGAGACCACATTCATGACCCATATGGGATCATTAATCAAGGTCGCAGCAAAACCTCCATACACAGTATTCATGTCCATCACATTTCGTATCTTGTCAGTCCCAAGTTCAGGGATTAACTTCTTGTAGTGCTCAACATGCTTTTTCCATATAGCATCATCATGCTTGAAAGCACTAGCACTCCCACGATGAACCATTGAAATCCGTTCAGGTGTACCATGCAGCCGCTCAGGCCACATAGGAATGGATTTCAAACCTGATTTCTTTAACTTAGCATCTGGAACCACAATACAAGCACGAAGCGGAGTATACCATGCTGAATCTGGTTCAAGGCTGTCATCACATTTAGGTGGATAGGTATCTCTAGCAAGATTATTATAGCAACTATTATCTGGAGACTTCTGCCACACAGCAATGTTACCCTTTTTATTGTACATTTTAAAGCATAATGAAGTCAGCAATTCCTGTAACTTCTCATAGTTTGATCTTTGCTCCGCGATAGTTGTGTTCCATCCACGCCACCTGCGCTCATAGTTGATTGGTGGACCAGACAAGACCCAAAATCCACCAGGACGAAGAATCCGGTGTATTTCAAGGAGATAAACTCCACCTGAAACCAGATACCCCATCAGAATGAATGAGAATTTAGAGTGAACTTCTCAGTTAGAAGCAGAAAATAAAAAATAAAAAAATCATTAAAGCAGTAAGATTAGAGTGAAATCAACTGCCTGAAATAAATGTCGAACTTAGTTCAAGGACATGCTGTTTACCATTTATAAAATCACCACAGTTATCAAGACAAGAAAAAAGAATCAAACAGTGATGACTTTTCATTAATTAAAAGCTAAGTAGTAAAAAGTAGCCAAGCAAGATCTGAAAAACCATTCATTGAAACTAGATACAACCTTGATTTGAAAGAACCCTATGTAGTTGCAACAGATGCATTAAATCAAAAGTTTAAGCAGCTACAAACTGGTAAAGTTTGATCACTGGAAAATGTTGCATAAACAGGAATAAATTCTGTTTAATTGCTAAAAGTTCAAAGGCCAAAGAAGAAGTACCAAATTCTGTCCATGGGATAAGGCATCTGGAGCAATGAGCCATATCAAAGGAGTTTGATGGGAATGGAAGTCTCTGGGTAGAAATGACGCCAAGAATTGCAGGTATACCACGCTCCAGAGCAAATTGAACCTGAGCTTCGTGGTTATCTCTAGGCGCAAGAGAGAGAGTTAGAATCCCACGATCCAACAACTCACCACCCCAGCTAGCAACCTATAATAAATAAGAGTTATGTGGATTAGTTGATGTAACTCACTTGTATATATTCGCATTGCAGTCAAGAAAGCACAACCAAAAGAAGCACCATGTGTAATTAAACTAGAAGTTTATTGTTTAAGAAGGTATTTTGAGAATTTTAACTTGCATAGCTATTCCCTAGATAACTACAAAATAGAAAAAGAAAGAAACTCACCCCACAACCAGTGTCAATAGCAGTTCGAATAGTCCCATCTTTCATCTCTGGGATCAGCTCTTGCATTAAATCAACATATTCACCAACACCATTGGGAAACATAGTACCCCCACCCGGAAAATGGAATTTCTCCCCTTCCTTTTTCAACCAATGCTGATTGGACTTCTGCTTGTTAATCCAGTCATATGGAACATTCCTGACATCAGATATAACAGAAAACTTGAAGGAGTGGTCACATATCAATTGCAGGAAACTTAAATTAAGCCGTCGTTTTATTCTTATCTCATCCGGCACATATTATACCTGTACCAACATTCATCTCTGCTCTTCGGCCATCTAATTGGAGGCTTATACCCATCCGGGGGAGGAACTAAGCATTCTTTCCTCTCAAAATTCGGAGGGCAATGGCGTTCCAACAAAGTAAGTCGATAGGAGCCATACTTCCTCCATCTCTGTAAAACTAAGCATACTTAATAAATGAAGAAATTTTCTTCAAATCCAACCGCATCATAAAATGGACTACTATTGGTAATATTACCCTCGGATCTGTGCATGGAGTGTAATCTTGATAGTCAATGCTGCATTCAGGAAAACTGATGGATTTAATTTGCAGAGAACCTACTGATGATTCTTTAGGGGATTCAAGAGATTTCTGGCTGCTAAATGAGACAAATCTATCCTTCTCAGAACAAAATATTACACCCATATAGAAAGAAAATCCACATAACACCACAAATATGATTGACATAGTGACAGTCCTGCTCTTGTCTGGCTGGGTGATCGATTTTCCATCTTTAGGTTGCATGGTTCGTGAAATAATCAACTATCTGCAGAAATGCAACATACTCAACATCACTAAAATGGAACCATGCAATCTACTAGCTCAAGTCATGTATTTTAACAAATGATACACCTAACAATTAAAAAAAAAGATTGATATCTCATTCAAAATTGTCAATCATCATTTTTATCAAACATAAGAAAAAAAAAACTCACAAAAAAGGACCCTTGGAACTCATGTTTCAAGAGCCACTTTAACCACCCAGTAAGAAATCAAGTTTCTGTTTGTTCTTCTGTTTCGCCCCATAAAATAATAGTAATAATAATAGTCTAGAAGATTGCAGAATACTGAAAAGAAGTGAACATAGCATTCGTTTCCTATCTATTCCAGGAACGAAACAAGCCTATCCTCTTGAACTATTCAATTTCAGAAAACCACTTTATCTAAATTACCAAACCATCCTAGTTTCACCAATTAGCTTTTGAAGCCAAAGAAGGACAAGGCAGCAACAACTTTACATTACATCACTGAAAAAAGCAACGAAAACTAAGAAATAAAAAATCCAGAAAGGACAATAAACAATGCTGATTGCAATGAGAACACACAACACAAGACTTACACAACATCACTACAAGCAGATCAGTGTTACAAAACACAGATTCCCATGACAGATCCCAATTATGGAATCAAAAAACGGAAAATAGAATATAAAACATGACATTGTTTGATTTTCTGCTACTTGGGGTAAGCTATGAATATAAAAACCTGCTACTTTCTACCGACACTTGCTGCTTTCCACGCCATTCTTGTCTTTATGATTTTCACAAAGTGGACCCTACCAACCCCTCCATTCAAAAAGGCAAAAAAGGAAGCTCTAGATCTTACACCGTATTCTGTTGCCATAAGGAAGAAAACAGAACAATACAGAAGAGAGATAATCATCATTTCTTGCTATATGTTTTCGTTGTTCGATCCAATGAATTGTTTTTCATATGAATCATCATTGATAGCTGAGAGTGTGACATTCTAAAAAGGAAGACCAAAGAACCCTCCCATCCAAGTTTCAATGATTTAGTTCAGAGCATGAGCCAACAAAACAATGCATTTAGTCCAAGAAAAAGAAAATAATTTTTAATAATCTTGAAACCCCATATCGAAACTTGATTATAAAATAGGAAAAAGCAAAAACCTTTGATGATTAGCACACTGAATAAGCAACACTCCACAGTCAACAAAAAAAGAAAAAAAGAAAAAAAAGAAAATTAAAACAAAAACAAAGAGAACCCACAAGCAGTCAGATCTGTGACATAAAAGAAAGAAAAAATGAAAAGAGAAAGAGAAATAAAAGAGGCGATGTGAAGGGGGTAAGAAGGTGCTTAGTGCTTACCCTTTCTCTTTATGTTTTTTTTCTCAGCCTCTGCTTCTGCTTGTTCTTGAAAAAAGGAGAGGAGTAAATTGGGGTAATTCAAACACAAACAGTGTTCAGAGAGTTAAAGAGAACAGGAATAGAAGACAGAGAGTCCATGCATTAAGTCAGATACCTTCGCCTAAGACTAAAAACTAAACTAGCTCAACCATAACGCGTAACTATTTGCTTGCCATCACGTGCCTAGCTGTTACCCGGGTTTTTTTTTTTTTCAACATCTTTCTTTCGTCAATAAAGGCATTTAAATCATTAAAAAATAAATTAAATAAAAAACAAAAAATAAAAAGAGGAGTGATTTTTTTTTTGGCCTTTCTGTGTCACTTGCTAATAATGGTATAGTGTCGTGAATAGAGGTGATAAACGAACCAGGGACCTTTGACTTGGCTGGCTTGTGAAGGCCTGAACTTATGTGCCTAAAATTGGTTGTTGGAACAGACTTGAACTTGTATAAAAACTCATTTAATAAAAAAAGGCTTCAGGCTTCAATTCAAAAACTCGACCTTAGAACCTCTCAGGCTGGCCTAGTATATTAATTTTTATTTTTATTTTATATTTTTTATATTACTTGTAATAGTTCTCTCTTTCTCTCAATCCATTTCATCCAATTTTATTGGTTAAACAGACTTTTTGAAAGATTTTGTTTTAAATTATGCTATTTAGATATATATTAAATTTATAATATTTATGAAATTACTAGTGTTGTTGATTGTATATTCTGTTTGGATAAATTTTTGTTGTCTTATTTTTTTTCAACAGACTAAATAAGAATTTCATTTTTTGTGATAATTATATTCATAACAGGTAACAAGCTTGATTAAGCTGATATATTTAAACACAAATTTAATCTTTTAAAATCAAAGCTCGGTTCGGTCCATTAACACCTAGTCGTGAATATTATAAGATAACCTCGGATAAAATGACATTAACAACCTAACCTAACCTAACGCGCTGAAAACCCAAAAAAGGAACTTGACATTTGGATTCCTTTTTAATCAGCTAAACAGAATTTGCCACGTTGAAGATTTCATGGGGACTTATCCCAAAATTAGTGGTTGGTTGTGTCAACGTTCACCTATTATTAAATTAAAAAAAATAATCAATATATGTTAAATATTATTATTAATATATTTTAAATAATAATATTGGTATTAAACTTAGAGCATGTTTCATAATTCATAATTAATTATTCATTTTTGTACTAATTTAAAAGTTATGACCTTTATAACAAAATATATCTAATGATCTGTGAGTTATACTTTTTTCTTATAATTATTTCACGAAATTTTTTTATCTTATTTTGTGTTTTTATTCTTCGTATAGAGTATTTATATTTTAAAAAATAGAACTAAAATAGAAAAAAAAAATTAAAGGATGAAAAAATATGAAAGATTTGAAAAGATCAAATCTAAGAAATTAAAACTCAAATAAACCTGGCGACATTGTTGGTCACCGACCAAAATGTCACTTTTTACCAAATTTTTTTACCTAAATGTCACGCGAATAGTGTTATTTTTCAATATGTCACGTGAGCGAGTTTGCTACAGTACCCAGCAAACTCGATTGGATGACGTGTCACATTTTTAGTGGACACAGTACCAAGTTCGCTACTGTTGGTTGGACTTTTTAATTGAAAAAAGCTGACATTCCAACCAAGTTCGCTACTGGGAGTAGCGAACTTGGTACTGTGTCCACTAAAAACGTGACATGTCATTCAATCGAGTTCGTTGGGCACTGTAGTGAATTCGCTCACGTGACAGATTAGGAAATAACACTGTTCACGTGGTATTTAGGTAAAAAAATTAATAAACAGTGACATTTTGATCACGTTCCTCAAACTGTACGTTAAAGGTGGCACTTACCGTAACACCCTCCAAAATTTTAATTATACACAAAGATTAAGTGTATTTTAAGATATTAAGTGTACTTGAAATCTTTCACACACAAAAAAAAAAAAAAAGTACTTGAAAACACTCAATTGGTTCTTACTTAACTTTTCTGGGTAGAAGGTCAATCAATTTTTTTTTATATGCAGAATCAAATTCATGACTAACAGAATACACATCAAGAGTTAAGAATAAGTCATCCTACACAAATAATGAATATGATTTTACTAACAACTTTTTTTTTTTGGTTTCAGAAGAAAAATAGAGGAATAAAGTAAAACAAAATCAGCTTACCAAAAAAAAAAAAAAAAAGTAAAACAAAATCAAAAGTTATGAATAAAACCGTATAATTCGGGAAATTGACGACCAGAGAGTGGTATCTGATTCTTCTTTCTTGCTTTTGTATTTGGTGTGCTAGTCCACTTGCATCATTAATGGATTTGCTTTAGGTAATAGGCTTTGCAATTGGTGGATCAACTTATCAACATTCGAAGAACATACTATAAAATGATGAGTCGCTTGTAGAGATATAAATGGACTAGATCGTTATATAGGAACTTACGGCTTAATCTATATTAAGTCAGACTTAACTTATTACAAATAGTAAAATAGATCAGACTTAAACTTTTAAAAAAACTATTTAGAAAATAGGCTACAATCTTTCTTTCTTTTTTGTACATATTAGGCTTATAAGTCTACAGACCGACTTATATCATATTATTTATTTTAAATAAAATAAATAAAATTATTATTTTAATAATTTTGAATAATAAAGTAATATTATTTTAGTTATTTTTTTAAGGGTTCACTTTTTCTACGGTCAATATAGATAACTTATCTACAGTGAGCTCAAAACGACATCGTTTTGAGATAGAAATCAAGGAATTTTTGTAATTATAATATATTTCAGGGTTATAATAGTCTTTTTCATTATAGTTTTTTAATTTTTCAACCCAAAACGACGTTGTTTTGGGAGCGAATGTAGATAACTTATCTACATTCACTTTAGAAACATTAAAGCCTTTTTTAATTATTAAATGTTTAATAGCCTTAAACAGGCTAATTGGCCTAGGCCAATACTTTTATTTTTTAAATATAAGTTAGAATAAACTTGTAATTTAGGGTCTACATAGGGCTTTTTGACCATTTTGCCCTCATTAATTAATTAATAACTAATTTGCCCCTCCCCCAGAACTATCCACCATCCTGCCCCCTTTAGACGATTAAGGTGATGTTTTAGTCGACTACATTGCACAAACTCAGGAATTATGAACCCCGCGTTTTAATCGACTACTTATTTAGCTTGATCGATTAAATGTCTTGAAGGTTTAATCGACTACACCCATTATTTAGTCGACTACTTTTCGCGGATTGGGTTTTTTAAAAAAACCCCATTGCGCGAAGGGGGTTTATTTAGAAACCCTAGTCGATTAAGAGACACCAAGGCACCACATCTTGAAGAACCGATCGAAGCCCCTTTCATTGGCCGTCCGATTACACCAAGTCAACCATCTACCTTGTGAATCTGAGTTGGTATTAAACCCTTGCATTGTGTTTTATGTGTAGTTTTTTTTTATATTTCTTTCTCCTTTACATGAATTCGTTTCTGTTTTTGTTGTTGTGTTATATGGCAGAACGTTGGTTGATTTTTGTTGTCTTTAATTATTGCTTGTGTTTCATGTAATGAAGGACATTTGGGGTTGGGTTTTGATTTTTAAAATTTTCCACAGCCACCGGTTACTTGTGTTTGGTTTAGTTATTAATAGCTTATTTGTATAGCTTGGATTACTTGTGCTCTATGATTACTTTTTTTTAGTATGCATGAGTATTGATTTTTGAAAATTTTGGATATTCTTATTGGCTGATTTTGAGTTATTGATTTTGACCATTGCTTCCACTTCCATTGTAGGTACGCTTGTTGAAATGGCTCCCCGTAGAAGACCAGAAATGCCGAAGTTGAGATACGCACAAAGCAACGTCAAGACCATCCCTCTTCGTCAAGGCAACAAGACGAAGAGCCTGCTCCTGTCGACCTTCCGTATGGATACTTGTTTGATGATGACCCGTCGGTTCATGCTGCATTTGTACGTGACCATGCGAATCGTCCCTTATGCCCTCCGAAGTCATTGGATACAACATTTTTTGCGGGGGAGGGATTTTAGATTGTGGGATTGTTGGAGGCATCACATCTGAGGGTTTTGGTTGAGATGTTGTGTCCCTACTCAGAGCTGATGGTGCGGGCCTTCTACCATAACCTTAGCTATGTTCAGGGTGAGTTGAGGTCCAGGGTCTGCGGAGTGGACATCATCATGACGGCTCCGGTATGGTTGGAGATACTGGGGTATGACTTTGATGCTTCGCAGACTGTGGAATATGATGCTGATAGCACTGTTCCAATTCCTGGATATTCCCGAGGAGATGCTGTGGAGGAGGCCAGGAGGCCTGATATTGCACGTGGCCGTCACATTCACTATACGGTGGGGTTGCTCAATGTAGAGACCCGCATATTACACTATGTCATCACCCACATCCTGTTCCTGCAAACTTTCAATCATTCCAGGGTGCTGGAACATGACATTCCTATCATGTGGGCTATCCGACATGCCACCCTGGTCAACTGGAGGCACTACATCTGTTGGTTTATGTTTAAGCACAAACATAAGGGTCATCTTCCATACGCCTGTCTGGCACAGAGGATACTTGTTCACTTTGGTGTTCCCATGGACACTGAGCACTTGAAGAAGACCACAGGCTATAATTGCAAGTTCGGAAAGCGCCTACTGGAGCAGTGCAAGATTGCAAAGAATAATGTCGGTGTGTGGCAGTTCACTGGTACGGTTGAGGTTGAGGTACCTTGTGTTGCCCCAGATGCACACATAGTTGAGCCAGAGGCGGAGGATGAGGAGGATGATGATGATGAGCCTGAGGTTGAGGAGATAGCTGAACCTGAAGGTGGATTTTCTTTGCGTGACGTCATGAAAGGCATAAATGCCACACTGAAGAAGATAGGAAAAATGGCGCTGAAACATAAAAAATGGAGGAAGAGTCACATCCAGAAAGGGAATGAAAGGTTTAGACACATACAGGGACGGTTCAAGGGTGTGGAAGATCGGCTTGCTCGTCGAGAGCTTGCACGAGGACAGGAGGTTGAGGAGGATGCAGGGGAGGGGGCTCATGTGTCAGATGAGGATGACGAGGAGACAGCGTCCGAAGA